ATATGCCCAATATGTTTTGTGACCACAGGAATGTCCTTAATGCATTCAGGTCACCTTTCACATTTTCAAGTTGCAACACTTGGAGAGTTATATCTTGTTGGGTAGTTTGTTTCCTTTGATCGAGGCATTTGTCTACATTCAGTGTCTCTGCTGGTTTGATGACTTTCAGAACATGCTGAAATGCTGCTTCACCTTCTAGAAGACTTCACACTCTTGTCATAACATCCTCTCCTGTCATCTTAGGGAGTTCTGCTCTCAACAGCATGTCAGTGATATTTATCATCTTCATTGCTTATATGTCACACCCAGATGATATCTTGATAATTGGAGTAACATTCATTGTAGATGCTTTGCAGCAGAAAGTAATAGCTTAAGAAAAATGCTGTGCAGTGACTTGTGAATGGACTCTATTGTTGTTTTGTTTGTTCCAAATAGTTCATGTTGAAAATGTTCGCAAGTAAAGACTGTGACGCGGCATTATTTTTCATTGATTTGTGCATAGCACTTTTCCCTTTTAAATTAATGCTGTGGATGTAAATGCGACCAGTTGACCTTGTTGCATTTGGCTCCCTCCAATTCCTGTCTCATTAGTGTCACACTATAGGGTGCCTTCATCATTTACATCATAGTATTTCAGCATTGGAGTTGCCATAATTATTTGTATGCTTTTAGTTAATGCTACTTCTTGTTCTGTGCTTCTATATTACCATACATTTTTGGTAGTGAGTTGGCACCATGGTTCATACTCCAACAACAAATTAGGCAAATGTTTTGCTAAGTGGTTGATGAATCCAATAAATTGTTGCACTATTTTACAATCTGTTGATCACAGCATCATTGTTACACTCACACCTTTTCAAAATCCGAGTGAAGATCTTTTGCTTTTACTACATGAACCTGTTAATGTATTTTACTTCAGACATTGTTAGTTGCTAACTCTTGATCAATTTCAGGCTCATCTGGTGACCTCTGCCATCCATCACACTAAATTTTGATCATGATTGGCAATGCTTTCTTGGATTGTGTCTCTGCATCCATAACCTAGCAGATCATCCACTACAGACTGGATCTGCGGCAGGTGGTGAGGGAACCAACAAGAGGCAAAACCAAACTCGGCTCCATCCTTACTGCTGGAGACAGATGCATCTTCCATGACAGTATCAGTAAGAGTATCCACCGCACAGCCCTTGTGGAGACAAAAGTCCAGACTTCACATTGAGAATACAATCCATAGTGCCATACAGCACAATCTCCATGTTACATGGACAGACTTTGAACAGATGCAGCAACTGAAGACTGGGCATCCATGAGGCGCTGTGGGCCATCAACAGCAACAGAATTATACTCCAGCACAATCTGTAACCTCATGGCCCGGCATATCCCCCACTCAACCATTACCATCAAGCCAGGGGATCAACTCTGCTTCAATGGAGAGTGCAGGAGGGCATGCCAGGAACAGCACTAGGTATACCTGAAGATGAGGTGTCAGCCTGGAGAAGCTACCAAACAGGGCACAGGACTACTTGCATGCCAAACAGCAGAAGCAGCAAGTGATAGACAGCGTGAAACAATCTAGGCTTTGCAGTTCAGCCACATCCAGTCATGATTAGCAGTGGACAATTAAAAAATTCACTGGAGAACAACTTTATAGGACGGGCTGAAGGGCTAAAATTGTTGATGATATTCGAAAGCTGCATGACCTGGAATGAGTCCTGTGAACATTCTTATACGTGCCAAAGGTGGCATAATCAAAGTTGCTTTTCTGTACTTGCTGTTTGTTACGCTGTATGAGAAAGAGAGTTTCATTCCAAGTCGTCAGACTTGACCTCTGGGATCGTGAATGGTGCCAGGAACAAACCTAAGCCTCCAGACCAACCATCAATCAGGGTGGGGTGTCCCTGACGTGCAGGGGGGCGTGAGGCTTGTTGCTTACTTTTCCTTCCTTTTTTTATCTTTGTTTATTACTTAATAATACTTAATAAATGTTCACAGTTTAGTCTTCTTCTTTTCCTTCCTTATTGCTCAATAAATGTTCATATTTAAGCAAATTGCTGTTGTCAAATCTTTTCTTAACTACATTTAACCAAATCTGAAAAGAACCACTTGGATACACCCTGTGACCCAAGACAATGATGCTCCACAAATATCGCCGTGCTCATTGATGCAAAAGCCCAGCACAACAGTACAAAAGATAAGGTTGGAGCATTTGCAGCAATCTTCAGCCAGAAGTGCTGAGTGAATGATCCATCTTGATCTTCTCAGTAATGCAGTCTTTAGCCAATTTGATTCACTCCATATGATATCAAGAAATAGTTGGAATCATTGGATACTGCGTAAGGCTATGGGCCCAGATTACATTCCAGCAATAATATTGAAGATTTGCCAAGCCCCTAGACAAGCTGTTCCAGTAGTTACAACATTGGCATCGACCTGACAATGTGAAAAATTGCCCAGGTCTGTCCCTTACACAAAAAGGAGGACAAATCCAACCCAGCCAATTACTGCCCCATCAGTCCACTTTTGCTCATCAGTAAAGTGATGGAAGCTGTCATCAACAGTGCTATCAAGCAGCACCTGCTCAGCAATAACCTGCTCGGTGACACCCAGTTTGGGTTTCTCCAGGGCCACTCAGCTCCTGACCTCATTACAGCCTTGGTTCAAACATGGGTAAAAGAGCTAAATTCCAAGGATGAGGTAAGAGTGACAGCCTCTGTTATCAAAGCCACAGTCAATGGTGTGTGGCATCAAGGAACCCTAACAAAACTGGAATCAATGGGTATCAAGGGACAAATTCTCCACTGTTTGGAGTTATACCTGGTACAAAGGAAAATGGTTGTAGTTATTGGAGATCAGTCATCTCAGCTCCAGGATATCTCTGCAGGAGTTCCTCAGGGTAGTTTCCTTGGATCAACAAGCTTTGCTTCATCATAAGGTCAGAAGTGGGGATATCTGCCAATGATTGCACAATGCTCAGCACTATTTATGACTCCTCCAATACTGAAGCAATCCATGTTCTAATGTAACAAACTCTGGACAATATCCAGGCTTGGACAGACAAGTGTAAGTAACATTCATGCCACACAAAGGCCAGGCGAAAACCATTTCCAATAAGAGACAATCTATCCACTGTCCCTTGACATCCAATGGTGTTACCATCACTGAAACCCCAATATTAACATCCTGGGGTTACCATTGACCAGAAACTCAACTGGGCTCACTACATAACCACTAGTTACAAGAGCAGATCGGAGGCTAGGAATAGTGCAGCAAGTAACTCACCTCCTGACACCCAAAGCTTGTCCACCATCTACAAGGAACAAGTCAGGAATGTCGTAGAATTTCCTGCTTGCCTGGATGGGTGCAGCTCCAACAACACTTAAGAGGCTCAATACCATCCAGGACAAAGCAGCCACCTTGATTGGCATTACATCCACAAACTTCCGTTTCCTCCACCATTGACATTCAACGGCAGTAGTATGTACTATCTACAACATGCACTAAAGAATTTCAACAAAGATCCTTAGAGAGCACCTTCTAGATCCATTCAGAAGGACAAGGGCAGACCACTTGCAAATTGCCCCCAAGCCATTTACCATACTGGCTTGGATATATTTTGCCATTCCTTCACTGTTGCTGAGTCAAAATCCTGGAATTCCCTCCCTAAGGGCACTGTCGGTCAAAGTACAGCATATGAGCTGCAGCAATTCCCAAAAATTTCCAATAGATTGTTCCCTGCTCACCAGGATCCGATCATTGACATATCTCAGGAAAAGCAAGGGCCCTAATACCAACACCTTGTGAATTTCAACAGATCCTCCAAACTTTCCATCAGTCTGAAAAATATTCATTGACTATTACTCTGTTTCCTGTCACTCTGTCAATTTTGTATCCATGTTGCTATTGTCCCTTTCTCACCATGACCTATAACTTTCCTCAGTGTGTCATGTGGTACTGTATCAAACGCCTTCTGGAAATCCATGTTTACCACACATCAGCAGCATTACCCTCATTGAGCACTCCTGTTACTTCTTCAAAAAATTCCAGCAAGTTCGTGAAACACAATTTCCCCATTAGAAATCCATGATGGCTCTTCTTAATAACCCACAATTTACCATGTGACTACTAATTCTATCCTGAATTATTGTTTCTAGAAGCTTCCCCATCACTGGTTTATAATTGCTGGGATTATCCCTACAACTGTTCTTGAACAAGGCTGTAATGTTTGCATTCTCTAATCTCCTGGTACCTCCCCTCAGTCTAGGAAAGACTGAAAGATTATGACCAGTATCCCTGCCATTTCCATTCTCATTTTCTTTAAATTCCTTGGATGTATCTTGTCTAGTCCCAGTGACTTGTCAACTTTAAATACTAACAGTCTATCCAAGACTTCTTCCTTATCAGTTTTGAACTCTTTTAATGACTGCATTTCCCTCTCTATCACCATGGCCTGGGTAGCTTTCTCCTCTTTCGTCAATGTAGATGCAAAGTATTTATTTAACACCCCTGTCATGCCCAATGCTTCCATGTATAAATCCTGAATAGGTCCCCAATCCTTTAAATACTTTTCCATTATTAGTAGGCCAAAGAAGACTTCGGGATTCCCCTTTATGTTTGCTGCTAGTCTTTTCTCATAATTCCTCTTTTCTTCTCTTATTTGCTTTTTCACCTCCCCTCTAAACAAGAAGGAAGTCCCCATATGTTGCAATCGACACATTGGAATAATCTGGCCCATCTCTATATGTACTTCATCACTGGTTCCCTGATGTCAGCTGTAGAAGCAGGAACTAAGTCTAAATGGGAAAGGAGAATGAATTTGAGGATTACCCATCATTGATATATGAATACAGTAGAAAGTTTGCACCAGTTAATTGTAACAACAAACCAACAAAGAGGGATACACGCACTGAGTTATAAATGCTGTAAATGATCTCAGGTTCCAGTGGGGCCTATGGCACAGGAACTGAGTTCACAACACTGTCCTGTGGGAAAAAAGGAGAAAGATGCAGGAAAAGAAATTTGGAGCATTGATAATCAAGAGAAAGTTCCTGCTGATGAAACTGTGTCATGACACTCCTAGAGGCGTAGACTGTGAAGGAGAAAGCAAAGAGGAATTTAAACTTCTGCAATCAGTACATGGAAACCTTCAAATGGATTTTACAGAGAAAGATACCAACAATAACGGCGATGATTTTAACAGCAATCAGGAGCTGGTAGCTAGGTTACCTGAAGATCTAGGGGAAAGAGCAGAAAATGCAGCATTACAGAGATCCATTGAAAGCAAATTAAAAACCCAAGGGCAGGCTTTTCCTCTCTCACTAGAAAGCATGCTCTCTCTGAGGTTTCTCTTATTCCTATTTCAATCCTGCTTTGAATTCAATCATCTTTTATCTGCGCAATGCCCAGATTTTTGTGAGTTGTGTTAATTAGGTCACATATAGAGCAGTGGACTCTTTTCCACCTTGTGCCCTGTTATTTAACACTTACCATTCATATGATATATTCATTTGGGGTTCAAAGTATGCTATCAAGGCTTTCAAATTTTATTTGATTGCTCAAAAAGATTTGTTGTGGAGTTCACTGTGTAGCAGTCTCTCCCCAACAGTAATAGACGAGTATCTGCTCATAACTGCTCTGGTTTGTTAACTAAAATCTGTCACAACTTCATATTTTGTCTTTATGCATAAAATGCTACCAGTTCTTTTTCATATCACCTTTCATTTTAACTGTGATTGGGTGAGCCAATGTGTCTTCCCCAGTGCTTTCAGCTGGTGCCTGTTTCTTTGTTCTTTTTCTGTCACTTCTAGCAACGTTCTGCACTTTTAGTAACTGTACTTCTATACAATTCTTCAGCAGTCTATCTCAGCATCGCTCTGACATGATGTTACAAGCCAGTAGGATAAAAGCCCAGCTTGCTCTGTGCCTTTATCGATCTGGCTGTAAAATGGATTCCTGTCGTGGTTTTATGATAGCAGTCATATGACTACAGCAAGCCAGGAGGCATATTTGTACTGTATTGCATTTCTATCCCTAACATTAACTACAAGGGAGAAGATACTCCAGAATACTTTTATTTTAACAAGGAAGCTGTTTGCTTCATTGGTCTCCTTTTTGATTGATTCCCAACTCTACCTTGTCTTTCTTCAGAAATGGGTCCAATAGTGTTTTGGGTCCACGTTAATTGTCCACAGGACTGACCATTGGTTAATAACATAGGCTTGACAGTCCTCTTGTGAAAATCAAAAGCAAAGAGGCTTGACAATCCTTCTTGCTCTTTAATCTTTGCGCGCCCTGCTAGTTGAACCATTCAGTAAGAGAACTATTTATCTGGATAGCCTCCATCAATGTTATTAATGATAATATTTCCAGTGTGACAAATGATTCCTGGGTAAGTGGAAGGGTTTTGAAAGAAGCTTTTACTGTCTGAATGAAATGATAAAAATGACTTAGTGCCAGATAATAGCAAAGTGCTTTGTCCATTAAATGTGATTTCCTTTAATAAATGGAGAAATGTTGTGCAGATTGCTCATAAAAAGATTTAATTGAAATTTAACATGAGAACATTTGACAGAAAATTTGTGGTACATTAGCTCACAGTCCAGCAATTCCATCATCTTAAAATTCTCATCTATTTTTTTCAAATCCTTTTATGAATGGTCTCCTCCCTATCTCTCTAAATTCTCTCAGCTGAATAAGATGCTCCTCAACAATATCGTGGAGATTTTGCCCAATTTAAAGTTACTGCGTAAATGCAAATTGTTGTTGCAGAGATTCACTCTGTCAAATAGCTTGCTACACTTCAAACTTCAGAACATGATATTAAATGCTACTTGAAGCCCAAGATCAGTTGGGACCAATCCTTCAACAAAGTTTTTCTGCAGATGTCTGTCATATTGCATGAGCGAATATGCCCGCTGGATGATCAATTCCTCTGTCCATATCCGATTGGTTCATTTATGGACCAATCCTTATGGAGTCATTGTGCAGCACAGAAACAGACCCTTCAGTCCAACTCATTCATGCCGACCAGATATCCTAAATTAATCTGGCCCATACCCTTCTAAACCCTTCCTATTCATGTACCGATCAAGATGCCTTTTAAATGTTGTAATTGTACCCGCCTCCACCACATCCTCTGGCATCACAAATCCCTGTGTCCATATCTGATTGGTTCACTGAGTGACTAATCTGTGTCTACAGCTGACTGGCAACCTGTAATCTTGAGAAATCTAAGGCAAAATTTTGATCTTAATTTTTTTTCAAATAATTTGCTATGTTTTACACAAATATGGATAACTGGTACAACCAATTCCCTCATCTATTTCATTTTATAATAAATTTTAACTACTAAGCATTGAAATCTTTATACTAGTATGCTGGCTGTATGCTCAGGGTTTGATGGGGGAAATGAATAAATATTAATTCCAAAAAGATGAAATGAAAGTCTGTCTGTTTTATGTGCCAAATTCCTGACGTGTTTGTAGACCTTGTACTAGTCCCAATAACACTTTCTGAGTTTGGATGATGAAAACCATGATGATGTTGTTACTAAGAATTTGACAAGACAGATGGTTATTATTGCCGTGGTTTTACAGGCATATCAAACATGACAACACATTACTGGAGGCTGAGTGCGGTTCATGCTCAGATATTTGCCTTAACCATTTGAACCCTTGCCTGCTGAAACAAGTCATTGATACATTGCAGAGGAGCAATAGAGTGTTGAAAGAGGAATCAATTATAGATTGTGACGTACGCTCTTCATGTTCCTTCATCCACCTCCCTTTATATTGGAGAGATTTCAGTCTGAGGACATGGATACACAGCCTGTTCTCAGGCCTCTATAAGTGTCAGACAGTAATCAAGATTCCACTTGATGTGGCTGAGAGACCCCAGGTTGACTTGACCTTCAATGTAATGTGGAAAAGCTATGCACATTCTATTCCTCCTTTCAGCATCTCATGCTATTATTGTATCAGTCGCACAATGTCCTTGCTGCTAATAACCAATACTGTAATACATTCATGGGTGAAATACACTTGTTTGGAAGACATAATTGAATCTATATTTTTGAATATCACCTGAGTCATTGGTCCCAGTTGGTTACAAGTGGAGTGCACAAGACCCTTGAATCCATCCTCCCACGGCCTCGAAAGAACATTGTCAAGTTTTACTCCGAGCACAGAGTGTTGCTGTACAATATTCAGTATGCATTGTAATTATTTCAGTGCGTTAATGATGCGACAGTTGAATTTATCTCCTTTAGTTACCATGCCGGACAATCAGAACTCACTGACATGAGCCAGACAGATTTCAGCGATAGTATGTAAACTCCAGACTAGGGAGGAGCTAACCTGTGGGACACATGTGGAAGACAGGAGACACCTGCCATTAGCTTAGAGTCACACAGTCAGAGATGTACAGCATGGAAACACACCCTTCAGCCCAACTCGTCCATGCCGACCAGATATCCAAAATTAATTTAGTCCCATTTGCCAGCATTTGGCCCATATCTCTCTAAACCCTTCCAATTCATATCTCCATCCTGATGCCTTTTAAATGTTGTAATTGTATCAGCTTCCAACACATCATCTGGCATCTCATTCCATACACGCTCCGGTGATGATTTTTTACAAGGTCCTGAGGGAGGCACACAAGGCATCAATATCACTTCGAATGACTTGCTCTGGGATCTGGGAGTTGGTACATTGACCAGTTAAACCTCCGCTCATCTGGCAACTCATTACAAGCAATAAATTCATGAGTTTCTCAGCCTTGCTAAGGTATCAGAACTTTTCTCCCAGGGATTAATTTATGGAGTTCATAAAATCTACATCTCTCTCCAAAGCAATCATTATTTATCCATTATGAAGCTATCTTATTTTAAGTTTTTATTGCAGCTCATACAAAATGTTGAGAATTTTATTCCAGAGATATGCTCTGGGCAGAGTTGTGTGAAGAACCACCACATATAACCTCAAGGTGGTGTCCAATGGGAAGTCTCATTGTCTTTCAGTGATTCAGCAAGAACATGTGTGCATGCATCAAGGGGAATGTGGCATTCATTCAGCCAATAAAAGCTTTGAGAGATGGTATTATTGAGTACAGAAGTTGGCTCAATCAGCATCAGTACTCTTGGATCAATTCCAGCACAAGCATGAGTTAAAGTTCATTCATCACTCAGTCTCTATGAGCACCTAGTGGGATCTTGCTGAAGAAATTAATGCTGTGTTTTAAACTCAAAATAGCATTGAACCATCTGCGACACCCACCAGGTTTACAAGGCCTCTCAGTGCTGACTTGCAAACTTAGCACCAATTAATATCTAATTATGACAAAATTCAAGCCAATACTCAAGGCTATCCGCTTTCACTGCCAAACTGATTTAAGAGGCAATGATAAAGGAAAATTTTATTCCTAGAATCTGGGGACACAGAATAAGATGCATGCCTTTAAGACAGATATGGGAAAGAATTTCTTCACCAACAGGGTTGTGAATCTTTGGAATTCTCCACCCCAGAGAGCTGTGGAGGATGAGCATATTCAAGACAGAGAGCAATAGATTTTAAAACACCAGTAACATCAAGCAATATGGGCATAGTATGGGGAAATGGCATTGAGGTTGACGATTAACCATGAACTACAATGGCAGAGCTGTCTTGAAGGGCTAAATGGCCTACTCCCATGTTCCTATTCAGCTGGTTTTAGGCTGTATTTAACTGTCAAACCTAAAGGTAACCAATCAATTAGAGCTGCCTCATCCTTTCATCCAGTGTGTTACAGAACACCGAGGCTAAAATGTGGAATAAATAAAAGGATTAACTCAGTTCTTGGTAGCAGTGTAAAGCAGATTTCCAATTCTCTATTAACCACTTTAAACTATACAAGTATGTTTTTAATTAAATTCTTCTTTCTGGCAATATTTCTTGTAATTTGTGACTGTAAGTTTATAGCAGGGAATCACTGAGCTTTTCGCAAATTCTTTGATTCACTCATTTACAAATAATTTCTCTTTTCCATTTTAAATTAGGAACCTGGCTGAATGACCACTTTTATAAAGCATTAAATAATTAATAATGTAAATGTATTTCTCTAAATGTAAGTGTACCATTTAATGTTTTTTCTCCATCAATTCTAGCTTCAATGCTACACCCAAATCAAGTATTAGCATCCTATATTCTTGTAGCCATTTGGAACTGGTTTTATAAATCAG